GTACGTAGCCGTGTAATCGTCGAACGGAAACGCCGTGACCGCGATCGGCCACGCCAGATATCCTCCGTGATATCCTGCTGTTTTATGCGTCATTCATTCTTCCCCCTTCCAGCCAGCCCTCCTCGACCCTCCGCGTGTTGTCCTTCTTCCGTGAACCTTTCCGAACGCTCCCCTTTCTCTGTTCCCCTTACACGTCATGTTCTTGAACGAGTGACGCATCGTTGCCACGGTGCTAAAAACGATCGAAAAATCACCGGCAAGAAGTGTGGAATCGATGTGTGTGTGTGTGTGTGCACATGTACACACGCGGTGGTACACATCGGCGATCCGGCACATTGAATGGGAAGTTCGCGCGCGAGCGGAGCTAACTCTTGAACCACCAGATCAATCGTCGAAACGATCAGTCGGTCAATTTTTGCAGAGGGATCTCTTTAATACAAGTTTTAATACTCGTCGGTGGTTCCAGCGTTGAAGGCGCGTTCTTGATGGGGGGATTTCACGGTTCGTTGAAATCGGGTCGCGATCGTACTCGCGAAACGATGAGACGGTTCTATAAATAACTTGATAAAAGTACCAGGAGCCGAGTCTCGGATCGGAGTGAAAAACAATATTCTGTCTCTTTTCTCCTTCATATTTATAACTGCGAGAGGGGAATGGCTACTCCTTTACATTTTGAGCGTATACTTTTTATTGTTTTTCGTCATTCATTTACATTCAAATATTTCCAAGATACGTCTTCAAGAAACAGTGCGTGTTTCGGCATCGGTTCTTCGAACTTCGTACTACGCTGCTAATTGTATTTCGTATAAATTTTTCCTCGCGATCGCTTTTAAACGCTAATAGAATACACTACGTGGCCTCGTCGAGCTTCTTCTTCGATGAGTCTAGGATGCGTTCCGTCGTTGTCGTTACAGTTGCAAGTTGTGAGATAGTCTCTAGATAGTTCGCTATAAGGGGCGATATCGACGTTTCTCGTGGCCAAACGACACACCATTTTTATTTTTTTTTTTTTTTTTTTGGCCGCGCGAGGAGGGGTTGCGGCGGCTGTGCTCTCGCAAAAGTCACGCCGCTCGTTTCGTTTCGTTTCGTTTCGTTTACTCTGCTATAAACGAGACTGTTACACGTTACACAACATACTTGATTGCCATATGTTCTTTCCTTTCTTTTCTTTTCCATATTTACTCCAATTGCTTGTTCTTCGTTTGTTCTTCGCCGATTTACACGTTTTATATAATGAATGAACAACGACGGGGAACGGCGACGAGACTCGACGACGATCAGTTTAAGAAGTCACACGCAAAAAAAACATGAAAAGAAGTATCGCACGCGCGCGTGCACAATCGGTATATATAGACGTAATAGCAATCGTTGTTTCGGACAGAAAGTAATAATCAGCAGAAACTGCGAGCGCGTTATCGAACTTCAAGATTGTGGGAGGGAGGTTTATTTAGCTCACTAAAATAAAAAATTCTTTCTCTTTCTCTCCCTCTCCTTTTCATTTCGATCTCTCGTTGCCGTTGCGTCGCACGTAATACATAAAATAGCGTTTCACTCGTTATTCTTTTTTTTCTTTTTTTTTTTTTTTATATATATATATATCATACGTGTATTTGCTTGCTGCTGATACATTAATTATAATACACACCGTTTATAATGGCCCTGGACACGGTATATCTTGGCCGATTCGATTCGATCCGGCGCCTCGATTCGCAAAGTCGGTGGTCGCAAAGACCAACGTCGAGATCCGTTATCGCCATGCTCTCTCTCTCTCTCTCTCTCT